ACAGATTTCTAATTCTTTATCTCTTGGTTGAAAGGGAGCTTCCCTTGTTTTTCTTGTCTTCCTGTAGGCTACAAGCCATTTATTCATAAAAACGTTTTATTCGCAGTCAATGGGGGACCAAATATATGAATCATTAGGCACTTATGTGCATTAAAAAATAATGTTAGAAAGAATGGGCTTTTAAAGGAATAAATCCACATGAGAGCAGAAATCACTAAAGAGGATTTCAGCAGATCTTAGGCAGAGAGCAAGTTTTATGGGTAGCTTCACTGCTCAGTCAGCCACTAGAAATTTGAACCTCAATCTCCACTATCTAAGCTTAACAATCAGGGCTTATCCTCACTTTTCTTTCTTCCATGCTTTCCAGGTATGGTCCATGCGTTAAAGATCCATACCCAAGCACTCTTCTTCTGTTCTGGAGTGTTCTCTCTGAAAACCCGCTCTTTACTGCGGACAGCAGTCGCGAAAGGCCAAGTTGCCATTTGTTGTGCTCCAGCTTTAAAGAGCTTAGTCCACAACACCAACCATCAAGGGCTCTGTGTCTCTTGCTACTTGTTCATTTGCACCCTACCCAAGGAACACAGGGAAGCATAATGAGCAGAGAGGACCTGAACGGATGGCTGGGCAGGGAATACCTGGACTAGGGACAGAGCTTTGTCCATACAGCCACACACCCTTTAAAAAGAATTGTTGAGCAAGTAGATTCATTGGTGTCCAGGCAGCTTTAAAGTGTTACATTTGTCTGTCTTCTGCTGCTTTTGTTAGCTGTCTTGAACTTTCTGGAAAGGTGGGATATAAATATTTTATATTTAAAAGTATATAAATATACTATTTGAGGCTAGAAAGAGGTTTATTCCCTCAGCAAATACTCTTTAAAAATGTCAAGGTTATCTGCTTACATATACAATCAAATTATTAGTAACAAACTATCTTTCAAGGCAAAGCAACTAAAAAGATACAAAAGTGTGGCCATTGCATCATCATTCAGATATTTTAAGAAAAGAATGCTTGTGAAAAAGAATTTGAAGAACAATTCAGTTACAAGTAAATGGTTCCCGACTGCTTTTATTTACTGATGCTCTTCCAAAATACTTGCCATTATCACCCATGTGGTGGAGGGAGACTCCTCTGCTACAAGATGCCAAATGAAAGTTCATATTTCAGTGTCAAGGATTGAGGTGGAACAGCTTTGTCCCCACCCCAAAAGTGACTGCAGCCTGTTGCTCAACAGCAAATGGTAGCTGCTCACTCATATGGGAGAAAATAAAAGGGTGTATTTGAGGACATTATGCAGGACACAATTCCCTGTCTCAGAAGACTGGAGCCGATTTATCTAAACTCAGTAGCAGTCATTAGAAACCAAGCTTGCATTTGTCTACATTGGCCCCAGTCCTTCATCTACACAGTCTTGTTCACATGAGTTCCATTCCTTAGTCATGCTGTGCCGAAAAGGACAGAAGATTAAGAATTTACTGATTATATGTATATGTATATGTAGTGACCAGATAGTCCCCTCTTGAATTATCCATTGGGGCAATCCCTAGATCCTGGATACGTTAAATAATACAAGTACAGGTTTGAAAAAAATAATTTAGACACCCAACAACAATTGTGTTCACTTCAAAAGCTCCCTAGAAGTACAGTAAATGGAGTCAACAAGAGAGCGCCATGGGTGCCATTTGGCCCAACATGGTTGAGTTACCTTCTACTCTATACAATCGTTTCCTCTCCTCTTTTTGTTCATTATCCATTCCTGGTTCTTAGATACTGTTGATTGAGACAATGTACCTGCCTACAGTTCCGTATTTCCTGAAGCAAAGAAGGTGGCAAGGACCCCATGCAAATGGAGGATGGTGCAGTCGAAATATGCATTGCGGCATTAGAGAAAACAGGAACTCCAGAACTTGTTCTTTGCTATACAGATGTTCATCTTATAGCCATGCAAATGTTACCTGGCTGTGCAGCTGAGCAGGGGCACCTGTAACTGTCAAGCTGATAAATACTGATTATGCATTTTAATTTGCACAGTCCTTATATGACTTATTTCTTTTTACTCCTCCATTCTCAGTTTGCTTTAGATTTCTTTGGGAAAGGGCATGGTCTAACCCTTTTAACAATAAACATGTGCATAATAACTTAGAACAGAGGTTGCTGGTTGGTAGCTCATGGGCCAGATTTGATCCAAAAACCAGTTTCTGTTCCCCAGATTTAATGAAAATATGGTAGATATTTTGCTTGCAGAGTGTTATCTGAAAGGAATCAGCCAACAGAAAATTTGAGCTTTCTAGTAGCTGTTTCCTGGTGCATATATGAAGGTGACATCATAATATATATGAAGGGCCAACACTGTCATATCCTGTCTGGTGCATGAATTAGAACCAAAATAATAAAACTAAAAACTATCACTACTAATTAGTGCTTCAACAAAGCTTTACTCATATCTTTTTCTGTGCACACCCAGATCTAACTTATTGGCTTCCTTTAGCATAATATACTGTAGATTATTTGCAATGACTGAGATTCAGCAGTGTGTGGACTGGTCTCTTTCAGATAAAGAAGTGTGCTGGAATAAATTGCAGCATCTAACCCAACCAACCACAGGATTGAAGAAACGTACCAGCTGAAGAAAAATCATGGTTGTTCATACATATGGATGAAATAAATATTAAAATGAAATGCATGCATTAAGCCATTAATTGCAGGTTGTGTTCCAAAAAATAGACAGCCTGTCAAAGATTCCACATGGCTATGAAAGGAAATCTGCAGGTTTACACCATTTTATATAAAGTCACTCTTCTCAAAACCTGAGGCAGATCTCTGCACAAGTCATACATCATTGCTATAGGAAAAACTAGTTTCCCCTTGATTATTCACCCTGCTGGGATTGATCATAGCTGAGCCAACCTGGCCATTTCTTAACTGGGGCAGCATGAGTAGCAGAGCATTCTGCCTCCCCATTCAAGGTTGAATAATTGACCTTGTGCCACTAAGCTCTCATTCAAACCTGTAGCAATGCCTGCAGTGAGAGTGTCTGGTGAGCAGGCAGGCTATTCGTGAAGACTTGGCAGTGGTGAGACTTCCTTGTCTAGAGAAGCTCCAAGAAATAAGGGTGAGGGGTAGCCAATCCTGGATGCATTGCTGGCAGTGAGTGCTTCACCGAGTGAGACCAAAACACTTCACAGTAGCCTTTTGTCTGCTAAGGAGGATTTGAGTATATTGAGTATCTGCTAAGAAGTATTTGCCTGCTAAGGAGAGGGAAGCTGTTGCCCAAATACTGTTGCGATGGCACAGGGAGGCATTAACTGCAGCCAGTCTTTGCTGAGGGCTTGGACTCCTTTGCCTGATCAGAGTGGGAGGGCAGGAGGCTACTGTGAGATCTGCAATGCCTGGACAGCCATGATTGTTGTGAACATTGCATGACTGCTTCACTATTTGACCTCAGCTGAGCACATGGGTGTCCAGGGATATACCAGATACACTCCCAGGATAAACCAAATCCCCAGCTTTTTTCTTTTCTTCCAGGAGCAAGTTTCTAACAATTGTAAACCTAAGATAGGAGACAAAACATATAGGCACTATTCTATCACAGGGTAAGTTTCCAGCAAACTCTCTCTGTATTTGGGCTGCAATGGTGGCTGGACTGAGAACACCAGCCATTAATGCTCTTGGCAGAAAGAGATGCCAAGCAATGGGACCAAGTTGTGGCCAAAGAATGTGGTGAATAAACAGGGTAGGCCACTGACTCTTACTGAGCCTCTCTTTTTCCAGCCCCCTTATCCCACGAGGGTATGCATTTTGGGCAGTATGCCCCCCTCTTCTGGGCAGAAAACCACCCAGCGTCCAGTGAACAGGGCCCCCAATTTAGGCCTTGGCCACCTGGGCAGCTTCAAGTGCCCAGTAAATGGAGGAATGGAGTGAGGAAGCTTTGAATGCCACTGTAAAGCATTGCTTGTGCACCTGTAGGGAAATAACTTAGGCTGCAGTCCTAAGCCCCTGTACCTGGGAGTAAGGCCGATTGGCATGGGTAGGACTGGACATGATTAGGATTGCACCGTTAGTTAAGGTATCATGTGTGACATTGGCTACCATGGTCACTTCGATTTTCAGACCATTGTCAAATTGTTTCCAGGCATATTTGCCATACAGTAAAAGATAATCCCAAAGGTTTGGCAGAGGGCTGGGAAACCCAGATATTAACATGCTCTACAGGAATACAAAAGGGCACACAATTTTGTGGTGGACTGGCACATGTCTCTGAGACAGCTCGGATACAGCATTCACCTCTGCCGTGTGGGGGGGGGGCAGCATTTACCTTTGTTCCAAAGGATGTGATGTGTACCTGCAGAATCTAGTCACAGACATAGTGATAAAGGTATTAGAGGAGAGAAGTAGGATGCAGGTGAGCATGGGTGTGTGTAGATTGTCATCCATGGTTATGGCTGTGCTAGGGTGTTAAGATACAGGGCAATGCATGCATACCCATGCTAGCTAAGAGATTAGTTAGCTGACCATTTTATTCCATCTTATGCTTTGATTTGAATGTAATGATAAATAAAGCTGTGGCCATTATACTCTGAGAGTGCTGTCCATCTTCTTATTGCCAACCACAAAACTTCCGTTTTTGCAGATGATTGTGTTTCCTCTGCTCACTTTGCTTCAGGATACAACAGTCCACTGAGAGACCAAATCCTTTGCCTTTGAGGGCGGCAAGCTCTGCCTGTGGCTTCTCCTCATTTAAATGTGCTTGCCCATAGAGTCAACCATTTGCTTCTTAGGCCTGGGAATCTCATGATGAAAAGCTTTGATAACCATTGTCAACATGATACTACTACAGTAAAATGATTTTTTTGTTAGATTGGTTAAAAATTCTCTAAATCACTGTGATACCACCCTGATGAAGATCATATGAAGTGTCATTGAGACCTTGGAGTTGGGGAAATGGGAAGCAGATATTGCATTTTAAAATGTATGTATTTTATATCCACATAATCTCAAGATACTTTCTTTCATGAAATAGGTTTTTTCCTCATATAGACATAAATACAGTGTTAACTATGAAAAACATTACAAAAAGTGTTTCTGTTTAATTTAACAAGTAGAAAAATATTACTAGCTTACATGGCAATTATGACTCTAATATTGTACAGAAGTAATTCATAGATTTTACAAATAAATTATATCGTCAATGCCCTCCTTTTCTAAATGTGCCCTGGAGCATTTAGGCACACCAGATGCTTGTCTCTATAACTTAGGACCACACTCAGTGCCAGTCAAATGTTCTGCCAACAAGCTCAAAGAATTTCTGATTAGGTTCACGAAAATATCCGTGTAGCTTTTCAAGTAAGATTGGATCTACTTTGGGGTGTGCTCTTCCTTTCGACTCATGTAAACACCTATCCCTGCCACTGTCCCTTAAGCAGTAAAAGCCTTTTGTTTTATTGAAGTAAAAGTTTGAAGCATTTATCTGAGGCGAGAGATTTAGAAACCTTTCTACTTTGACTATCTCCGGGAAAGGATCTTTGATTAACTTATCCCCATCAACAATGTGAATGTGATCCAGAGGAAAGTATTTCAGCCAGTTTTGCATGTGAAAATAATACAAGCTCCTGTTTATCGCTTTGTAGTTTATGTTGAGTTCACCATCCTTAACCAGGAATTCTTCAATGGAGGGATATAGCTTATGTTTTTGCATGTGATTAAAAAACACTTGCGTATAGTCCGACAGCACTCTCTCTGTTGGGTCTCGTAAGATAAGGAGCAATCGGATAAGTTTGTTCATTCTATAAACTCTTTCAGGCACTTTTGGTGAAGTGAAATATGCAGGAGTTTTCTCCACTGTTATCTGGTATGGGTACGAGAATGGCATTTGGCTCACATACCACTGCAATCCATTTGAATAATGCTCTTCCCAGTCAAAGAAGTGGACTTCGCTTTCTGCTGCTGCCATATCCGGATGGAGGCTTAGCATCTCTAGTAAAGCTCTTGTTCCACCTTTCCGTACACCAATGATGATAGTTTGTGGAAGCCGCTGGAGTGTCCCATTGAGGTGGACGCTCTCTTTGAGGTCACCTTTCCTAAAGGGCTCTTTCTGAGTAGCAGCCTCAGCTTTCAAACTGGCAGCAGGCCTGGAAGGAACTGCCTGAGGTTGAACAAAAAGCAGTGCTGCTCCCAGCAGAAAAACAGCCATGACAAAGGTCCAGTCTTCTCTTGTACTACCAGAAAACAGGACATGAAGAGAACATCACTAGGAAGCTGAGGTCCTCTTTTTCAGCAAAAATGTATTTCTTAAGCAGATTATTCACTAGGAACATAAAAGAAAAGAAAAAAACAGGTTATAAAAGTCAGTTCAAATATTGCACCTGTGCTCAGTATTATTTTTACTTGAGCATAAGAACTAAGAGGTTTTCTCTAACTTACTTGCACTTATTCAACCACCCCTGGGAGAAATATATGGTATTTACTACACATTTAGAATATCATAATTTCCATTTCAGGTCTTTCGTGAGGATCACAGCTACAAGAAGCAAATCTGCTCTGTGCCTGTATTCTCACAAACATTTAATATGAACACAAGTACAAGGTGAACACAAGTAGCTTGTCTATTGTATCTTTGGGTCTTTAGGAACCCAAATGGAAAATATAACATGCAGAGGGATAGCCATGTTAATCTGCTGCACCAAACACAACTAAGAGTATTGTTATACATTTAGAAGTAAAACATTTCCAGAAGTGTTGGACATGGGAAAAATGGATCTCTACCAACTTTCATTAAAAAAATGAATTTTTTTGGGAAAAGAAGTCACTTGAAAGCTTATGTTGTGGTGGCCATAACCACAAGGCAACACAATCTCTTGGCGCTTTCAGCAGCAGCACTGCTGAAACCCAGCACTGCCAGATACTCACTTCCATGGATTTTCAAATGACTGGAGAAACACTAGTGATGCTGAGAAAACCGTGTGCCCAGTGCTAGAGGTCACCACGTCTCAATACAATGCATCTTTAAATAACTACTGCATTGTTAACAAACTGCTTGTGCCCATCTTCATATTCTGTTCAAAAGCCACTGGCAGTTTTACTAGATGTTAACATCTAGGACAGTAATTCTGCTGCTTCAGAAATGATATATGAATCTACAGTATATGTAAGGCTATGTATAAAGGTGCTTAACAAGCATTTAAGAAATCAAGATTAACATGACTCTCTTCATTAAGGACAAGCGAGAGATAGGATGGAGAAAATGCCTCATGCAATGAATGGATACCCAGGGAAGGTAGCATGGAATGTATTTTTGTGAGCTCTTCAATACACTCCCATAAGGGATTCCACACAGTAAAGTGTCAGAGCAGTGGAACTGAGCATTTGTGTAAATGGAAAATTCCTAAGAAAGCCCAGCACAATCACGTTTGACTTCAAAAGATGAAACTTCTAAGAACAACAACAATGAAGTAAATCCGTAGCTGAAAGGGAAAGTCAAGGGGGTCAAGTTGCTCCAAAATGCTTGCAAGATAGTTAAAAATCACAAAAATGAAGCTTGGCTAGAACACATACCACAGAGATGTAGGAAAGGTACTATCAACCTGAAGAGAATGCAAGCATGGTTAACAAGCTGAGTCAACAAGGCTAAAAAAAAAGGCATTAAGACTTCCCTGAGAACGCGGAACCTTTCCCCAAATGAGGAATTCAAAAAAGAAACACAAACTCTGGCAACATAAATGTTAAGAAAGTAAGAAAAGCTACGCTAGAGGCCTATCTGGTCTAGCATTCCTGCAGTGGACAACCAGATGCTTAAGGGAAGTCCATCAGCAGAACATGAGCACAGCAGCATCCACCCCACTCATGTTCTCCAGCAATGGGTACTCAGGTGAATGTTGGTCAGGTCAGGCTGGATGAAAGGTACTACTTCACATAGCATAAGCACATAATTAAACTATAAAGTTTTCTTGTGGAAAGCTATTGAAAATGCCACTGATATGTGCTTGCATATGATGCTGATTGGGATGTTTAGAAAAAGCATACACAGAACAGTCCATTAATATTTTAAATATGCATCCAGTTTTTAAGAGATCAAAAACATTCTTAAATATTCCTTTAACCTTTGCCACACTTTTTCTCAAACTCTCATTCTCTCATTTTTCCCCATTGCAGAGACAATTGTGCATCTAACAAAACAACTGCACATCTAACAAAAATTTGCTTCCTCAGCTTTGCATAATATCAACAAGCATTTCACATACAGAAATCTTGACAAAATAAAAAGGGGATCATGGCAAAAACTATGATTACTGTATACACAAAACTGCACCGCCTTTGGGGTGGCAAGGCTCAAGAATTAATTACACAAATTTATGGCCATGATATCTCTATGAAACCCCCAGGTTCAGTGGCAGTAATGCTAGCTAGTAATACCAGCTGCTGGGAAGCAAAAGCAGGACAAGAGCAAATGCCTTCAATCTTGGCCCACTTCTAGGTTTCCAACAGGCATCCAGGAAGCAGGATGCTGGATCCAGCAGGGCTCTTCTTAGGACACAGCAGTTTCCCTTTTCCTCATGAGAATGAAGAGCAGTCACTCTTCTGGGAAAACTGAACGATGCAAGTCAGGAGTATTGTTTAGGATTTTTGAGTAAATGCTTGCCCTGATCACTTTTGTCTTTTCTTTTTTCAAGGGGAGCAGATTTTACCAATTGCAACCCATGCCCTCTTCCCACACAGAGACCATGCACACTTCCTACCAAGCAGAGCCCCATTCTGGATCTGCTTCTGTTCAAAGACACCCAGGAAGGGGCTTTGGATATGCAAAATGAAGTACATGGATATAATCCAATCCAATCCTTTCAAAATGTACAGGGCAAAATCAGTTTTAAAATGATGTGCTTAACTGGGTTGTAAATCATGTCAGTGTTGTGGATCATATTTGTTTAGGCTCTTTCAAATGGAGACAGATACCAGCTTCATTTATATTGCTTATCAGTTTCAAAACCAGTACTTGAGATGAACCAATTTATGGAATTAATTCAATAATTTCTGAACAGCATCTCAAAGTAGTTCCTATCATTTTTGCATGAAATGAATCTGAATTAAGTTCCTTTTGCAATGGAACTTCATGTGATTTTTAATTTGTGTGTGTGTGTGTGTGTGTGTGTGTGTTTCATCATCACACTTAGTTCTGGTGTTAACTTGGGCAGAAAATGCAATTGGGTGGGAAAATGTACTTTAAGGTATCACATATGTCTTTGTGAATGCAACTGTGGTGTCCACATTCAGACAATGCAGTGGTGCAATAAGATTACCACTCCATCAAACAGAACTGAGTATTGTTCATTGTACTGTATATTAAACCCAGTGACATCATCAGGAATGCAGATCAATGCTCCGCAAGAAGTGGTTACAGGAAACCAGAAAGAGAGCCTTCTTGGTAGTGGTCCCTGTGAAAAACCCTCCCATCAGAGATCAAGGAAATATACTATTTGCCTTTTAAAAGACATTTGAAGGCAGCCCTATATAGGGAGGTTTTTAATGTTTGATGTTTTATTAAGTTTTTATATCCATTGGAAGTCGCCCAGAGTGGCTGGAGCAACCCAGTCATATGGAAGGGTACAGTTGTTGTTGTTGTTGTTGTTGATTGCCTGAATAATGTAGGAAAGCAGTAGTAGCTAGACTGTCCTGGTGCCCCAGGGTAAGTGCTGTCCGATCCTGAACAGACATTTGGCTTAACTACAATTTGGCTTAACTGGGTTATTGGTATGTGTGCCAAACTAGTTTGTTCTATTTAATTCAAATATTAACTTTCTTCCTATGCAAGAAAATATATACAAATGCCAGCTGTTTGTGCAACTGCTAGGACATGATAAACAAGATATATGCAAAATATAGCTTATTTGTTTCCTATATAATTACAAGTTACTGTAAATTATGGTATTTTTATTGGGACCCATTTAGAAATGCAGGTTCTTGTAAATTATTATCTTCTCAAGGAATAAAATAGAACAAACAACTAGCAGATTTTGTTTGGTATGACATGTTTTATTCAGAAATCCATACTTTCTATATTTAAAACATTCAAGAGAACACTTCGGAATTGGACTATTTGTGGTTTCAAAACCCTGCCAGCAGAAAAATAGAACTTGCAGTGCAACCAACACAAAAAGTACTTTCAGCGAGAACTGCTCTTGAAATGAACAGTAGGAGACATTGGGTTGCATCCAACAATGCTGTTCCACTCATACAACACACTTCCACTTGCACAATGGAACTTCCCCTTCCTCTCCTCCTGCCATGCACCTCCAAATGTGTTTCACAGCACTGGGGACTCTCTGGAAGAGATTTGGGGTGTGCGCACTGGGGAAACTCAAGAAGGGGAAGTTGTATTGCATGAGCCAAACTCCACTTCTCCAATGATGGATACAACCCAATCATTTCGAGAATCAAGAGTATTTTGTCCGACAGTTTTTTCAGTTGTTCCCATGAGAAGGCTAATTAGTTAGGAAGGAACTCCCCGTTTGCTGTAAGTGTATAAGTTAAGAGAATAAGAAGAGACCAGCTCGATCTGGCCCAGAGGTCATCAGTCCTAACAGCCTGTATCCCATGGTGGCCAACCATATACTTCTAAGATGCTAGCAGGCAGGGCACAAAGGCAAGAGATGTGGAAACAGTCTCCACGAAAAGCAATTAGACTTATTTCTAACGGTCACTTCAGAAGTTCTGCAGTGGCAAATCTGTGTTTGTCACTAAGGACTGCTGCACATGTTACATTATAGGTGCATAAGATGTTTGACATATTTATAACATCATTTATGCAATGCGTTTTTTTTACAAGGCAGCTTACAGAAAACCATAAAATAGTGTAATACAACAAACTATCAAGGCAGGATAAAATACAGAAAAGTTAGCACGTTTATTATTCATATCCCACTTTCCCCATTCTATTTTGATTGGATACTTGTCTCCCCTCCATTTCAGCAGCAAAGGACAACAATAAAGTAAAGAAGTCAACACTTTCAGAGACTGAGGATCAGTACAGTATTGTCAGTACAGTACAGTACAGGATCTTCCATTTTTACAGTGCATTTTGCAGTCACCAATGAGAGCTTTAATATGATGGTGAATTTGTAGAAATCCTGTGAATTCAAAGGGATCCATTTTAATTCTACTAGATCTGGCTTCTACCTCGACCCCATGGAAAAGCATTGTGTGTCTGAACTTTCTGTCCTTTTGGGGATGTGGGGAAGGCAGTTGGGAAGAGAGGAGTAACCAGGACATTGGTGGTCATGGCACTTCCCTCAAAATTCCAGATATTCCTTTGGGTCCAAAAAAGTTGGTGACCTAGGACTAGGTTGCTTTTTGCACTTAAAATAGAACCTAGAAACAAAGCAGTAGTGAATGAAGCTGGTGTAAAATTAGTGTAGTGTGCCAACAGCCTGGACCTTGATAACATCCTGGTGTGAACATGACCAACAATGAGCTGGTTCAGATGTAACATCAAATCCCAACATGTTAGGGACATGTGCATGAGCCTGATTTCCAGTGCTAGTTGTAGAGCAGGACAACCCATTGCTTGCTAATTCACTTGAAACAGCAAACTGTGCTTTGCCTCAAATAAGGAAAGGAAGTAGGGAATGACTGTACTCAAAGGGAGATGGGCACAGCCAGGCTCATGTAAAACTAAGTTTTGATTTTGCATTTGAGTCACCTCAGTGTACAATACAGGGCAGAAAGCCAGGATTAGCCACATATTGTCAACTTTCTATATGGTTGCAAATCCAGATTTGCTGCTGCTAAAGTATGAAACAGCCTTGGCTGTTTACTATTTGAGGAGTTTCACAAGTCCCAGCACTGACATTTTATGGCTGCCCTAAGGAAAAACACACTTAAGACCAGAATGTCCCTATGTTGTTTTAGCACAGCCTCCCAACAGCTATGGTCCCATCTGCAATGGTACATAAGACATATCCTATGCAGAAGTACCATTAAGAGCCTACATTTATTAAATGCTCTTATATGCAAGATTCCAATCATGTCATCTTTTACATTTTATACAGTTTACATTTTTTAGCCCATTAAGAATAACTCTGGGATATTGCAGTATGCTCTTGACTTCAGTACTGCAAAAGTCCCAAAATACAGGCTTTCCTTAGCTTCTCAACAATATTTTTTCAAAAACATTGCTTTCCCCCTCCACTCAACTTATACGTTTTATCCTAAGTGTTCTTTTAATTTTTATTTTTTGCAGAAAGATCCAATCATATTTGTGAACGAGAACCAAGTTGTGAAGTACAACATTAACATTTTAATCATAAATATATGTGTGAAAAGCATCTCCCTGAATTAATTGGAACTTAGTGAAGGCAAATTGACAAATGAATATCATGTCTGCGGGACAGACTAAGGGCAGAAGAGCTCTCATCTAAAGTTTGTTTGAAATGAATTATCAGCTCCACGCAGCTACTTTGGAAACCAGGGAAGTGTTCTGAGATTATCAGTGCTCCTCCTTCCTCCCCATATAATCTCACTACACCTGCTGCTATTACCTCTGTGAGGAAAGACACAGAGAGCATTAGTTTAAAAGAGCTGGTGTAATGCTGTGGTTAGTGTGCCAAACTGGATCATGAAGCTCACTTGGGCCAGTCACCATTGCTTAGTTTACCCCACAGGGTTGCTGTAAAGGTAAACTGAAAGAACTAGGTACACTACCCTGAGGTCATTGGAGGGAGGAAGGAAATGTAATAAATAAAATGAAAAAAACAAATAGGCAATGCTCATCCATGGAGCCATTTTTAAAAGTTAGCAAATAATGTTGTTTCTTTAAAAAACAAAACAAACAAACAAATAGAAGTATTTCTTCTTCATAGAGAAAAATAGCACACCAGCTATATTAAAACAAGGACCTCACAAATATTGCACACATTGACATATAATAAGGGTGCCTGTTACAGAGTCAGACTACTGACCCATCGAAACTTGCACTACTGCAGTGACTCTCAGATTCCTAGCACCCAAACCCAAAATCCTTTAACCATAAGCTTACACATCTTCTATGTGTAAAATAGCACTCTGCTGTAGTTGGTGGATTTACACGTAAGAGAAACACAGGGTTCCCAAATCTATCTGTCTCTTAGTGTCAATGTGGGCACCTCTGCAGAGGAGAATTCATGAACACCTGGTAGTGGTTAAGAGAACGTAACGCAAGAATAATGTGCAAAAAATGTCACCCAGACTGAGGATCAGATAAGGGGTACTTCAGTACTATCCAATGCCCAGTATCAGCAGTATGGTGGCTGACAAAATAATACATAAAAAAGCTTCTCAGGCTTTGTTTTGTTTGAAAGCTAGAACAGATGATGTTATGCAAATACTGTTGTTAACATCGCATATCATCATCAGGAAACTGATGCTAGAGGTGGTGGTAACATATTAGTTAGGGTGATCCCAAATTATCTGACCTTCTATTCATTATGGATGTTAAAATGGAGCTAGAGGTCAGGATTTTTACTGTCTCTCTGCCATTGCAATAGTGCCTTAACTGGACCTAAAGCGTTGATATTAGGTTGAAATTATATCCTGTTACACAGCTGCATCATAGAGTTTAAATTCATATCTGAACAAACTCTCATATGTGGATACATAACATGGGGACATAGTGAAAGCTAAGCCAAACAGAATTTAAGAAAAGATATGCTGAAAGACTCAATCTTTGGCTACTGAGACAACAGGTTTGTCATGTTTCATTTCTGTATAACAATTTTTGGTGCTGTATTCATCTGCTTGTGAAAAGATGAGTGTGAAATTCACCTTCTGTCATCTTCAGAATACTGTGTTCTCTCATGAAGGCAATGAAGAAAACCACCAGCATATGCTTAGGATGGATTTGCAGCATGGAGACTGCCAAACATAACAGGACTAAGACAGCAGTATCACCAAGCAAGTTCGTGGACTAAGGAAGAGCTCCTTTGGGAACTCTTAAGACAGAACCAGTCACCTTAAAAGGGCCCTGGCTGGGTCATAGATCTGAGGCATACATCTGAAAAAGACCCAAAGTATAGCATTTCTGAATTTATCCTCACTCACATGGATTACTACCTTCCAGTGTGTGGGAATGTGAATGTATCTGTCCATACCTGTAGCCCGAAAGAATGGGCTGCTGCTTGAAAAGCTCGTAATTGCACAACTAATTCATTAAGTTGATAGTTGCTCGCTAAGGTGGCACCACACTCTCCTTCTTTTCTTGCGACTACAGTCCAACTCAGCTATTTTTCAAATACGCTGTTACACATAGGCTGTTTCTCTTCACAGGGCATAAAGGACAGAGCTTCCTCTTCGACACAAAGAAATATCTAAGTGGCTGTCCGCTGCCACTACACACCACCTGAACATCTAAGAAAGGACTCCAAACTTCGCTACTAAGGGACAATGGCTGCAATCCTAACCCCATTTACCTGGGAGAAAAAAAACACACACACACACCGATAGTTATAGGACTTATTTCTGAGTACAAATGGTTAGGATTGTGCTGCAAGCTGGAATCAGAAAGTTCTCCAATTCTAACCTTACCTCTGCCAAAAGCTCACCATCAGGCAAACCACCCTCGTTTCAGAGTTTCAGCAATATTGATTTACCCGGCAGGGATCGCAATTAGAGCGTTTCTGTGGGGCATTCGGAATATTCTAAAACTGCTGTGCAAATGCCAGGGATTTTTCAGAGTTCCGGAGAAGGCGGTTTGGTGGCAATTTCAGTTTCATACACCTGTCCAATGCGACCCGCTCTCTCTTGTGAACCTGTTACGGAGCGAGTCTCGCCCTCCCCTCTTGCATCGGGCGCCCTTATAGCCCTTACAACGGGGCCGGGGGGGGGCAAGTGGGGGAGAGATCGAGGCCGGGGAAAACCCCTCGCGGGCGAGAGGAAGCCGCGAGCGCGCGCCCCGCAGCAGCAGCAGCAGCAGTCCAGTCTGGCGCGCCCCAGCCGCGCACGCAGGTGCTCCGGCCAAAAGTGATCTCCGCCGAGTCGCCGCCAGCGGGTCTCCTCCGAGCTCCCCGCACCCCGGATGCTGCCGGCTCGTGTTCGGCAAAAACCCAAGCCGGCTCTTCGCGCGACAATTTCTCCCCCCACAAGTCGCCCCTTATTCCCTCACAGCACACAGCCCAGCACTCCTGCTCCGCCTGCCTCATGCTGCTCTTCGTGGTATTTGGGGGGGGGGGGTGAGGTTCAGGGAGTTGTTAATGTCTCGGTAACGCATCCTAACCGCCACCCCTTCGCCGTGTATCGGGCACGCCGAGACCAGCCTAGTTCCCCGCTCACCTCTCGCAACGCTCCGAGAGCGGCGGAACCCGCTAGCTGGGGCGAACTTCGCCGCGTTCCCTGCCTGGCAAGCCCTTACCTGGGGCAGGAAGCAAGAGGCGCGCCCCGTCCCGCGTGTCGGGCTCCGGCGAGCTGAGTGGCCGCGCGGCTCCTGCTGTGCCATCGGCTCCCCAGGCGCGCGGCGGCGGCGGCGGCGGCCGGACTGGCGCAAGAGGCGAAGCGGCTGCTGCTTGTGTGTGGCGCACCCGCGCGCGCGACTGGCCAGGTAGGCGAAAGCGAGCCGGGCGCGTCGGCAGCGAGAGCGCCAGTGCCAGGCAGGCAGGCAGGCAGGGCGGGCGAGAGAGCGAGCTCATCCCGGAGGGGCGGGACCAGGCAGGCGGCAGGGGAGGAGACGGAGGAGGCGCCCGCTGCTGCCCGCCTCGTCCGGCTCCAGGCGCCGGCTGCTCCTCGCCTTCCCCGCGCGGTGTGGGGCGCCGCTTCCGGAAGAGGCCGGGGGAGATCTCGAGCGGCCCCTCCCGCTGGGACGGGCTGAGGTGAAGCCTCTCCTCCTCCGGCATGAACCCCAAGGCTGGTTCCCGGCTCCAGGCCTTGTTCAGCCCGCTTCATGGCAAAGCCATGTGTGCAGCACGGCTCCTTCTCTCCCCCTCACAACCCAGCCATAGGCCTCTGCCGCCGCCAGGTCCACAGGTGTGGGACACGAATCCCCGAAGAAGCCTTGGCAGGAACTGAGAAGCAGCAACTGAAGGCTCCCTCAGCTGGCGCTCTTCAGCTCTTCCGTGGCAGCCTTGCCATCTCAGCTCACCTTAGTTCAGACCTAGGTGCCCCATGCCAAGCTCTCCTCAGGGCCCTTTGACCGCTTCAGTCACTTGTGTCCTCCTGGCTTGTAAGATCTAGCAAAGAGGAGAGAAGACGACCAGCTGCATCAAGGAGACTATTAGTCCCTCTTGAACAGATCAAATGTTCCCCAGCCACATGAGAGAGGTGGTGGTGACACCACTTCCCTTAAAATAAGCCCTCTTTGGATTGGGACGGTCTTTAAAATTCTAGGCTGGTTGCCACATGTCTCCTTTCTGGGCAAGGTTCTGGAGGAGCCAGTGCTCTTGGATGGAACTGATCTTCTGGATCAGTTACAGGTAGGATTCAGGCCTGCCTACAAGCGGTGGTGCTGGGGGGCCTGTTGGTCAGCCTCATGGAGCCTTGAGTCTGGAGTTCTGCAGAGTTCATGAAACCACTGAGTGGGGGCACCCACAGTTTGGAAGTGTGTTGCCATTAGTATGCTGAGAACATACAACTCTCTCCTTTCCATTGCAAGTAGGTTTGGCATAGGATGTGCTGAGCCATGAGCTGTAGACAAGAACAAACCTTAAGGAGAGAGCTTAAGCATGAGCCTGAATTCAGATGACACACTAAGCCAATCCTTGGCTTAGCTCAGCACAGCGCAGGGGTGGAAATGACGTGGTGGTGGAGGAAAGCAAAGGCATTGCAAGCTAATCTCCTGCAGGGGTCAGCAAACAGCAGGGGGCCGGACCTTGTGTGGGGCTGGACTATATTTTGGAGAGAGAGAAAAAAGGAACAAATTCCTATGCCTCACAAATAACCCAGAGATGCATTTTAAATAAAAGGACACATTCTACTCCTGTAAAAACTTGCTGGTTCCCGGACCCTCCACGGGCTGGATTTAGAAGGCGATTGGGCCGGATCTGGCCCCCGGGCCTTAGTTTACCTACCCATGTCCTGGAGCCTATGTATTTGCATGGTCCCAGTAAGCCATAGTTTGACTTACCAGGTCTGTTGAATAGCATTCCTTGTCAGTTAAGCCATCATGTGAAAGCCACATACTAGCATCTGTTTAGGCTCAGATCCATTTTAGGAAGCTATGCTTTCTGCCATCAGGAATATCAGCAGCTCTTATTCCTACTGAATCCAGGTGGGCAACAATTAAGGCAAGAGTGGATTGCACTCAGTTAAAGTATATTTTAAAAGTTGCTTCTTTTGCACCTGTTGAGACTCAATACATTGTTATTATTTTCTATCCATAGCAACTGTTGTAAATTTGCAGACCTAAACATGCTTATCTGGAAAAGATTTCAGTTGAAAACAGTATGTTCTCCTTTTTATAACAAATGTGTTTAGGATTGAGGTGCAAAGGAGGAAAGTATGATGAATAAAACCTGGCAAGCAGTTAAGGGTGGCAGCATCAACAAATATCCAGAGACAGTTGTTATTTTTCCAAATCTGGGCTTGCTTCAATTATACAGCATTTAAAAATGGCATGTTCCTGAACTATATTTGTTCCATTTCCTGACAATATAGTTTTAGGTACAACTGAGGAAAGTGTCAAGTTCACGATTTCTCTTCAACTGTTGTGTTGAAACTGACTGAAATTTATGTCTGCCAAGTGTGTTTTCGTGATTGAACTCCTTGATGTGAATCTTGAGTTGTCTTGAAAACAAGGGCAAACTTTGTGGTTTTAGAGAAGATATTTGGGCCTACAACCTTATAACAAAAAATATGTAATATTTTACCCAAGTTTAGGTTGTTGAAAACATGCCACACATACATTTTTGTGCAAAATTTTTAAAATTCAAGCTTAATAGAAACAAAACTAGTGGGAAAATTCTCCTTTTGGTGCTGAATAAAAAATTTGCTGATTACAACTAGAGTAAAAGTATTATAACTGAGAAGAAAAGATCTCTGTCTTGTTTACCCTATCAGTTTGAAAAAGCAGTATCAGTAAGTGTAGACCCATTTTGTATGCATATCCACATAGACCTTTTAAGATCACTTAGATTAAGGATGGGGACCCTCATCTAACCAGGAGCCCAGATATTTATCTCCTCTATGCCAGATTGGGCCCAGATTTGGTCCAGATTTGATAGATGAGGCCTCGCACCTGTCAATCACCCGGCATCACATTGATGTCAGGTGATGATCATTGGGACATTGGGGCACTATGTTGGGCTTGTAAAGAGCCATGTGTGTCACTTTGAAGCACCATACTGCTTAATAAAGCTTTAAAATATTAAGTGAAGTAGGAATACTTCTAAACAAATAAAGATTCTGACTAGATTCAATCTGCATCATATCACGTATTCTTCATGGTGTTAACATTAATAATGAATGAACTTCAACTTTTGAACCATATGAGGGATTTTTATAAAGCAGCACCCTTTGGAATTTCTTCTTTGGGATCCAGATTACCTGATATTGTTCCAACACTGCACATTTCTGATTTTTATTTCTGGTTTTCATCTAACCTGCTGCTCTTATACTGTTTGCCACCTGCATTTTTTTCAGCTTGCATTCCTCTGCCCTCAAGGCATTACTAATAGATGTGCACATTGAGTAAATCACAGTGTAAAATGGAAGCCTCGTGCCCTCACATCAAGATTTCATTTTGCGCTGCTTTATACAATGCACATATGTGCTGTTACATACAGGTACCTTTTTAGTTTTGTGAAATCAAATGTAGAAGCCTTCATGAGTTCTACTGTCAGCACACATTGGGTTCATCATGGCTCTCTCTCCTTCTTTCACGCCCCACCCAAATTCCACTCACACATTTACTCATCGATTACACAAGACGTCAGATGAAAACTCTGGAAAACAGGTTTTTATTAAACAGCCACCGCCGCCACCCCATTCCACATGGAAAACTAATTCTGAAATTGATGGGAATTTTAACAGCAGATTAAAATGTGGCATCAAGGTGGTCCACTGTTTATTATTATTTTTTAATAAAACATTCTTCTAGGAAAAACCTGAAACAGCTCTTTAGGTACTTACCATAACATGTAGTGACACATAACAGACACATAAACAAATCCCTGTATCACAATTAATTATATAAATAAAAGATTAATCAGTAATTATCCTGATACTTACTTTCAATTCAGTAATCATTTGAGGTAGTTTAAGGGAAAAGATGTGCGGAGTTGCTGAACTGAATCAAGTGAACAAGAAATGAATTATTATTGTTGTAGTTGTTATAGCACATGAATGTAGTGTTGTTCCTATATTTGCAGCATAAGTAAAATGATTTATACGTAGTCAACAAATTACATGGCAGACAAAGGTAATGAGAGATAGATCAGTGCAATAATACAAAAGTCTAAAAAGTTTACCCCTGTATGATAACAGGAGTACTAGGATACATAAGGAGATGTTGGCAGTGTTCTTTCCAGCGCAGTGCAATAGCTTCTTTATCTTTCAGAAGTGTGGTACCATCTGCTGAGCGTAGGGGGCATATGCCATGATTTGACCCATAGATGGTCCGCAAAAACAAGTTAGAGATGAGCTTGCATTATCTCCAAATCTGGGAGAGTTGTGTACAGCTGTTAACCAAATGAAAAACAACAAAGCCAGTGGACCTGATGGAATACCTGCCGAAATCTTCAAAGTGGGTGGAACTGAATTTACACAACAACTTCACAAGCTCATTGAAAAAATCTGGGAAAGAGAAGTGATCCCAGCAGACTTTAGGGATGCCAAAATTATCAATCTCTTTTAAAAAAAAGGTGACAGAACTGATTACAGAAACTATCAAGGCATCTCTCTATTAGCTGCGGCCGGCAAAATTCTTGCAAGGATCTTCACAAACCATCTCTTAACAATATCCAAGGTGACCCTTCCTGAATACCAAAATGGTTTTCAGCCTTCTAGGGGGACAGTGGACATGATTTTCACCGCTCAACGGCTTCAGGAAAAATGCAGAAAGCAAAACCAGCCCCTGTATATGGCATTTATCGACCTGACTAAGGCTTTCGACACTGTAAATCGTAATGCCCTGTGGACTGTCCTTCTGAAAATTGGCTGCACAGATAAATTTGTAAACATCATTCAGCTCCTCCATGATAATATGACAGCAACCATCGCAGATAACAGTGGCTCTCAAAGTGAACCATTCACAGTGGGATCAGGTGTTAAACAGGGTTGTGTTATTGCCCCAACTTCATTATTTTCATTGCCATGATCCTACACTTTGTCGAAGGGAAACTCCCCACTGGGGTAGAAATCATATATCGAACAGATGGAAAGCTCTTCAATCTGAGCAGGCTGAAAGCAAAGAGTAAAGTTACCATAACTTCCGTCATAGAGTTTCAGTATGCTGATGACAATGTAGTGTGTGCATGCTCAGAGGATGACCTCCAAACTATCCAAATATCTTCACAGAAGCTTATAAAAAAACTTGGCCTGTTGCTCAACATCCAAAAAAACCAAAGTGCTGCACCAACAAGTACAAAATAACCCCTCTGCAGCACCACAAATCCAACTCAATGGTGTAATGTTGGAAAATGTCGATCACTTCTCCTACCTAGGCAGTTATCTTTCCACAAGGGCCAACATTGATGCTGAAATCAAGCATCTCTTGAGCTCTGCAAGTGTGGCTTTCTCCCGATTGAAGTGCAGAGTGTTTGAGGACTGGGACATTCGCAGGGAATCCAA